CCGGCCCCTGGGCAGGTTGGGACCCGGCAGGCAAAGGCAGCCGTGCCCCTCCTGCGTGCTCTTGAGCATCGGCCTCCTGGGAGGACCTTCTCTTAGTGCCTGTGCGGGCATCGTGTGGTGTCCCTTTCCCTCGCTTGCTGCCGTGTCCGAGTCTGGCCGGGAGGGAAAGGGGGCACAGAAGGGTAGCCCCACTCAGAGCTGTTTTGGTTAGTGTGCTCTGCCCTTGCTGCTCAAGGACAGCTTATTTTGGTCAGACCGAAGGTCCGCGTGTTCTAGCACGCTGTTTGTCAGAGGCCGACGCTAGATGCCAAGGCAGTGGTAGCAAATGTCCAGTCTCCGAGCAGTTTTGCAGCTTGGCTTTATCTTGAGCTATTAATGATGTCCATGTTGAATAGCACTGTATGTCCGTTTGGTGAACTTTAACGTGCCTGGCCCATATGCTGTCTTACACCTTCTTTCTCCTGCTTTGGAAGCAAGGCCTTTCTCTTTTCCTGATGGATTCTGGTACCTTCTTGTTGCCACAAAGAAAAAGGGATTGTTCTCCCTCTTGTGCTTCTCCTGACTTGAGCCCCTTTCCCGCTGCTGTGTTATGTTAAGGGAAGACGTGCTTCTCCTCTCCCCCTTGCTCTGAGTGATCAGGCTGCCAATGTGAGAGCAGCGCATGCAGATGATTCATCAGCGCTTGTGTGTTGAGGACTGTGTCCTGTGGGTCAGATGGATTGTCCTCGTGGCTGGAAAAAGCTTATGGGATATATGTCAATCTCATAGTAATCCTAGTCTAAGTATTGAATCAGAGGGCCGGGGTATTGGCCAGAAGAAAGAAACACTGGGGTGTGTGCATGAAAAGTTATTGTGAAAAGTTTATGAAAGCAAGCCTTCATTCAGGTTTTATTGGCATTTGCACTTAATGACGACTTAATATTCCTTTTTCTTGTGGTATCAAAGTGGGGGGGGAAGAGAAGGGAGCAAAAAAAATAATCCTGAATTAATGGGTATTTCTGAAAACGCTGTCCTTAGCATTTTGAAAAGTTTGACGTGTGGTTTTATCTAAGGCTGTATTTTGGGGGGAAGGTGGGGAAAAGGGACAAAGCTCCTTGAGGAGAGTTGGCTATTTTCCTGTTCTGACAATTTGCTAGATATCTTCCATTAGTAGAGGAAAAGTCCATCTAACCAGAGTCCCTGCAAACTTTCTGAGTGTGGGGTTTTTTTGTTTGTTTTTTGAAAGAAATACTCCTGTGCTCAGTGCAAGTGTAAAGCTGGAGCTGTGTTTGTGGGGATTGCCCAGGCCTGTTAAGCTGTTTGCTTGGAGTGATGGTCCAGAGGCAGCAGTAGGTGGTGGGCAGTGGGTTATTGGGAGCGTGCAATCTTGTGATGGCAAGGTGATGGGGTGCACAGGAGGTCTCTGGAACAAGACAGAGCTTCTTGGGCACTTCTGGTGCTCCAAAGACCTAAGTCTGCCCCTGTTACTCAGTAGGGATGACAGCCATTTTTATGTGGCAGGTCTGCATTGTCCTGTCAGGACAGGTGATACTAAGCTGGGTCTTCAGCTCTTTCCGGGGATCAGGTGATGTTACCAAACCTAACCAAAAAAAGAGAGGTGATTGAATTTTTTGGGCTAGTTTGTCACTTTTTCTTTTGAGGAAATGTTCTGATCTGTTAAGTTGAAAACTTACCGTGGCACCTTACCATCTGTTTCTTTCTTTTTCAGGGTTGGTTAAAAACTTATGGCTACTTACTTCCATCTGACAGCCAAATGTCTGCCTTGCAGTCGGGAAAAGCTGTGCAGTCCGCAGTTGCCACTATGCAACAGTTTTATGGGATCCCAGTAACAGGAGTTTTGGACGAGACAACTATTGAGTAAGATTAACGTAGGCTAATTTTGTCTTTCCCTTTCTTAACGCATTGTCATATTACCTGGGTAATTATTCCAGCTACAAGAAGTCCTCAAAAGGGATAGATTTGACTGACTCAGCCAGAGAAGTCTTGATTATGAAAAGATGTCCCTACGAAAACATGTGGACAACTCCACCTTTTCTTTTTCCCAACAGTACTGTTTGCGAGTGTGAAGAGAAGCTCTTGTTGAATGTTGTTCTTTGTATGTAGATCCCCATTGCTGGTGCATAGGCAAAGCATGAATCCTGTGAGCTTCTGAAAGCGGAGAACATGAAGGGTTTCATTTGTTTCCATCTCTGTCTGGATTTAGGTGAAAATCTGGCTCCAGAAATGGCTTCTAATGTATTTCTTAATTAATTGGAGTTGTGGATCTCCATAGATGCTATTTGTGGAGATGTATAGTTGCAAGTTGAAGTGAGTTGTTGTAGTGTGATGGCGATAGTCAAGACTACTTCGCTGTTGATAGTTGCCATTTGTTGGGCATTAGATGTTCTCTGCTGTATGTTGACCATGTGTTATTTGTTGTTTGTGATAGGTGTCTTGATAGCACAGAAGCATTGGTCTAAATCACCTAGGCTGGAGGGACTTTGTTCTTTGAAGGCTGTTGCCTTTAGTCTGCTTTTCAGTGTGTACTGCGAAGTGTGGTATGGAGGTGGTGTTCTGGTGTGGAAGTGGTGTTTGTTGCTGCTACCTGACTGGCTTCCTGTTGTCTGATGGCCTGGATGTTGTGTATTGGCTGAATCTGTCTGCTGTTGGTCTGGACTAGAGCATCTGTTGACTAAAGCAGAATGCAGATAAGGTCTTACTTATGCTTTCTGGGGGAAAGAAGTGTCTCATGGTGAGCCAAAAAAGAAAGCACAAATAATAAACTTGCTTAGGGCCCTACCTGAGAGTTTTCCCGTGACCTTTTCTTACTGCATTAGCAGACCCTTTTAGAGTATGCTCTGCCTAGTTCTTCATCTCTCCTGTTACTGCACTCTGCTGGCAAAAGGGACACAGTAGCATGAAAGAAGGCGGCACAAAGTAACCAAACAGTGTGAAGAACAAAGGGGTTTGGTTGTATGCCTTCCAGACTACAAGAAGAGGGAGAAACAGACCAGACTACCAGTAGAGGGAGAAACAGAAGAAATTAGTGAATTAGGCAGGAGGGGATCATCCTGGACTGGGAGTGCCTCTCCAGTGAATGTAATATTCCTCCTTTAGCTCACAGAAAAAGCCCCTGTTCTCCATTGAAAGATAGAGAAAATCCTGTTTGTTTGCTGTTCAAATGAGTTGAAAATGAAATGCTTTTTAAAGGTTGGGATTTTCCATCGGAGATCTCTTTGCCATTAATAACACAGTTTGTAAGTGAATGCTGAAGAAGAGCCAGAGAGCAGGGTTGTGTATGTGCCGTTGGTGTGTAGAAGCTTGCAGTTGGGATGCTTATGAGTTGGAAGGGGGTGGGGAAAGAAGGGGCTATGGTATTGGAGTGCTAGTTTGGCAAGTTAGGGAGCTGCTTCTACTGCCCTGTGGGTGACAGGGGAAGGGAGCAAACTGCATGTGGGATTCCCTGCTTTAGTAAGTAAAAGTATTTTTCTGGAGGAAAGGAAGGTGTTGCCCATGTTTTACTGAGTTTATGTGTGGGCAGGGGTTGACTGGTGCATGAACACCCAAAGGCTGATGGGTGAAAAACCTAGATGGTTCCCTCTTCTGAAACTCGAGTCTCCAAAGGCTTGAAACCTCAGCTGCAACCAAAAACCCACAGGGTGTGCTTTGCAGGCATGCAAAGCCTGCATGCCTCAGTTGCTCTACCTCCATCTGTCCTGAATCAGTCAATCCATATGTTGTATGGCAGGATGGAGCAGGAGTACCTACCTAGAAGTTACATGAAAGGAAAAAGAGGTCCTACTGGCTGTTAGCAGGGAGCCTGTATTTTGAGTTGGAGGGGCTTGTCTGGCTCGGCCTTGTTGGGCTGTCACTTCCTCAGACCTGGTTGTGGAAGCTGAGCAAAAGGAGAAGAGCTGGCAAGGCAGGCTGGCTCTGAGAGCTCTGAATTACTCAGGCATTTGCTAAGCTGTTACTGCAGTCTGTGTTACGAGTTTTGAGATTGCAATTATGAATTTTTCTGTCACTTCTGTCAGTGTCATAAGCTCTGTCCTTTTAAAGTGACTTTAGACAGAGTGCGAAGTTACTATTTTCTATGGCTTCTTTGTTAGGCAACAAATTCTGCATATTCTATTTACAGTTATTATGGAAGCCTAAAGTTTTTCATCTCCTTTCCCATACGCCCCCAAATCCCGAGCTTGTTCTTTCCTCCAAGAGTGGTACGCAAGTGCGTGAAAGCTACCACGCAGGCGCTGCCAGTGGGAGTGGGAAATGGGAAGGAACACCGCCATTTGTGTTGCTTACTGGTACTTGAAAGGAAGGTGGGGTGGGGGTCTGTTCAGCAGAGGGGCTGTCTTGAGGTAGCAGGTTGAGGATATATAGTTTCCTGCAAGGAGAGCAGGGGAGAATGCGTAAAATGGCCTCCTTGTACCCTGCAATTGACAGTGCCTCAGCAAACTTTGTGTCTGCCTGCAGCTAGTGGGTTGAATTGTAATTTTGCTCAGCAGCTAGGCACAGGTATAGTCCTGGGAGCGTGCTGGGAGAGAAGGCATGTTAGCGCCTACCAAAGTGATGACTGTTGTGTTTGTCGTAATCAATCACATGGCCCTGGAGGGAACCAAGAAATAGTCTTATTTTTGTTGGAAGTGTCTTGTGTGTCTTGTGTTTTGTCTTGAGCCTGTTGTGTAGGTCCCTCACCTTGGGATGCACGACACAGCTGTTTAAAGATATCACTCCCACCAGCTCAATACAAGGCAGTTGAGAATGACAGTTTCCTCTATTTAAGAGAGTCTTGTGGAGGGCTTGGAGCCTGAACCGGGGAAAGCAGCTGTATCTGGACAAGAGCTGGATGTCACTGCTTTTGAAATTACCTGTTTTCTGCATGCCAAGCAGCTGGAGGAATGCAATGGTCTATATGTAAACAGTACCAAGTATAAATTTTGATGAACCAGTGTTATTGGTGCCCCCATTTAAAAAAAAGGGGGGGGAAGGGGAGAAGCAACCATAAGTATCTGAATCCTGCTTCAAGTAATTATCTTTTGTTGTTGTTTCTGATGTGATGTGTTTTTATAAATCCTCTGGAACACAGAAAGGGTTATCCAAACTGCTCAGTAGAGAATGGCTGTCAAAAAGCTCAGCTAAAGAAGATCAATGGCAGCAAGCTACAGCTTCGTGATTATTTTGCCATAGAATAGAGAAAAGAAGAGATGGCTGGACTTGCACCCTGGCCTATGTGATTAGACTGGGGCCCATATGTCTGGGAAGTAAGTTGAATCAGGGAGCTGATCCAGATGAACATTCTCAGCTTGACATTAGCACAGGCTGTTGACAACTTGGGTACTGCCTAGCTCTAACCAGGTAGTTGGGCTTTTTTACTAAGTCTGTTTCAGAAAGTGTGTAGCTGAGCTCTGGAACAAACTGCGGTAGAATACGGGGGTTCAGACTGGCCTAAGTGTAATGGGGTTGAAGGAGGAGTTACAGCTGTGTGTAGCATAAGTCTGTTGGCAGCTTTGCAAATGCTGATACTTTGGAAGCTTTGACTCAAGAAGCCCTTAAAGCCCAGGGTCCCGGTATTGCAGCGTGCCTCTGGAACAGCCCCCTGTGCCCTGCCCTGTGTCCATACGTTGTGATGGAGCTGGCACAGGGGCAGCGAATTTGACTGTCTTTGAGGGGAATTAACTTTTGGTTGGGTCTCTGTGCAGTTCTGATTGGCTTTGATAGGGTAGGACTAATCTCGGGGGGGCTGATGTCCTGCAGCCTGCTCAGCATAGGGCAGGTGTTGGGAAGGGGCAGCCGGTGTTCGTACATGAAACAGATGTTGAGGTGTGCTAGAGAGATGTTAGCAAAGTGGTAGAAGCAGTGCAAAAGAACACAAATAAAGGATACTTGGAAAACCATAGTGTATTGAGGTTGAATTAATATGGCTTTTCTAAAAGCAAACCTTAGATGTACTGCTTTTCTTTGAAGGTGGCAGCAGTTGTGTGGGCAAGACAGATCTGATTTCCACAGGTTGCTTAGATTTCTGAAAGACATACCGTACTGATAAATGTAAGGTAATGTAAGTGGGGAAGATCTGTGCTAGCTTTATATACACAGCTTGGGTTCTTGTCAGGTATAGTACAATATGTATAACAACTCTCATTTGCTCTGTTCTTGGTGGGAAGAAGATGATGGATGACTGCACTGAAATTTGTAAGCACCCATAGTTTTTACATATAGGAAATGGACTAAGGAAAGGTCAGCTGCTTGGCTGCCTGAACTGGGAGCAGGTATGTGTGCTGTGAAAGAATGTTCTTGTGAGGCTGTACAAGGCAAAGTGTCTGTCTATTTGTTTTTTATTTAAAAGGTGTCCCGGAAAGAAGTCTTGTAAACCATCTACTGGTGATGGGAAGACATTCCTTTCCTGAAGGTGCGGGGCTAATATTTTTGATAGATAAGATGTACATTGTTTAGGCTCAAGCGTGTGGGCATATATGGACTACTTGCCATTGGCTGGCTGCAGTTGATGGAGAAATGTCTGCATTTGGAGGCCAAAAGTTGTCCCCCAGATGGCCAGGGATGTGGGGGAAGAGGAGAGGGGAGAGAATTTGGTGTCCTGTGTGAGAAATCTGCCAGGATTAGCTATGATGCTCTTCTTGTGTGTCATCAGGCAGTGGCATATTTCTGCATCCCATGTCGTGCAATGTGTTCTTAAGGCGTTGTGTCACAGTGGACACTTGCCTTTGCCATCAGAGTAAGTGGATCAAATGCATAAAATGCCTGAAGAATGCCAGTGGCAATGTCCCCAGCAGCAGCCCAAGCAGGAGGCTGAGGGTAGTGCCAGTGTGCTTGGGAGGCTGTGGCCAGAGACTGCTTGCATTATTCCTGGGCTCTGGTCACCTGTCCTGGGCTGCACTGCAAAATCCTGAAGAATGTGGCTGGGCCAGAAAGTTGCTGTGCTGGGACCTTTGGAGAACAGTACCTGTAGGTCCTCTGTTTCTGTCCCTGTCTCCTTTTTCCCTTGCTGCCGCATGCAGTGATGGGCAGATTCCTTTCTCCATAAGCCACTTCTGACTTCTCTGGAGTGTGCCCACACCAGCAAGTGGGATAGTATTCTGTGGCACAGTCTATTTCTCCTTGTCAGAGAATCATTCAGGTTGGAAGGGACCACTTGAGATCATCTACTCCAACCCCTTGCTCAAACAAGGACAGCTAGAGCAGGTTGCCTGGGACCATGTCCAGCTGGGTTTTGAATACCTCCAAGGATGGAGACTCTACCACTTCTCTGGGCAATCTGTGCCAGTGTTTGACCACCCTCAAGCTGGTGCAAGAAATAAGCAAAAGGTCTGTTAAGGCTGGAGGTAAAGGAGGTAGGGGAGGAGACCTGAGTTCTCTGATAATAGTGCATGGATCCCTGTGCAAGGGACAGCATCCTTTGCTCTTCCAGCTCACCTGGCCATAGGGGCAAGAGTTTCCTGATGTGGGGATAGGATTTTCAACTGTGGACATTACTGAATTCGATTTTAATGAGCAGGCACTATACCCGTGAGAAAGCACGCAGGCAGAAGATAAGGAAGAAAGGAATGAGCTGCTGGAAAGGAGTAAACAAGATAAGGACCATGAAGTCATGCCGCATGGTCAGGAAGAACAGACCTATCCGCTGGAGCATAGATGCGCGTGAACACAAGGCTGTAACCTATCTGCAGGCTGCAGATAGCGCGTTATAGCAATTACGTGTTATAGCGTAATTTATAGCAAGACTTTTGCTTGCTATAAATTACACTAATATAGAGCAATAAAGGTCTTTGGTTGCTGCTTGCCAGAGTCCGTGCCGTTTGTCCCCACATCCTACATCATGAGTGACATAGAAAGAGTCAAAGGTTATGGGGAGGATCTAACAGAATTTGGTGACTGTGACCCACAAACTGGAGTGATCTGTTCTGGTCATTACAGGTGAAAGCCTTAGTCGTTATCTGGGATGGTCGTGTTTGCACTTGTTCAGTCTTATCTAGTGAGATATGGAGGTTTTTTTTTTACTGGCACAGGAGCACTTTAAGAAATGGAGAGTGGATAGAGTAGGTGATAGGAGAGTTTGATCCCAGTGCACATGCAATTTTGATCTGGGTCTCTTTTCTGGCATTGTCATCATTAAGCTCTTGTCAAGCATAAGGGCTACCTGATCTGGTATCTGTGTTTCCAAAAGGAAAAATGAATTTTTTGGTGTGCTGAGGTGTGTGGATTGCCAGCAGAGGTGGGGTGTACATGTCTGTGTGAAGAGGGTAAACCTGAGAGAGGGAAGACTGAGCCCTTCTTGGTGTCTGTGTTGGCCATCCCTCAGAGGTCTTCCAGTCACCCCCTAGTTCTTTTGAATCTCTTTTCCAAACTCTTTGTTAGCTTTCTTTTTCTTTCCTTCCCTTCCAGGTGGATGAAGAAGCCTCGATGTGGAGTTCCAGATCATCCCCACCTACGCCATAGCCGGAGGAAAAAGCGGTATGCACTAACTGGACAAAAGTGGAGGCAGAAGCATATAACCTACAGGTATAGCCCCCTCCCCGCCCCTTTTTGTTTGGGGAAAAAAATGTTCTGTACTTGTTTGGTGTGCAAATATTGTAAGTACTTTTAAAAACTGGATTTTCCCTGTAATGCCTAGTTGAGGCTTTAATTCTGAGAACATGGGGAATACTTTCAGAGCACTGGAGTAACTGAAGAGTCTACTCTCAATTAGAAAATAACTGATCAGTAAAGATGCCTAAATCCCAGCCATCAGTTGTATAATTTTGGCAGGAAAATCCTATAAGCCCCTTTCTGTTCCCTTAGAAATCTAAGGCTCTAGCCCTTAGATCATGTGTCTTCTTTAACAAACCATTAAAGCAGAAGGAACATCATTGTCTAAAGGCTTGATGCTTTCTCCCTCTACCGATTTGCAACATTTTACTGAATGTTTATTTTTGCAGAGGTTTTACTTTTGCTCATGTAGTAGAACTCTTGCTTTTGTCCAGACTTAGGCCTGCTGCGGCAATATGCTGAAGTGGGCTACAGGTGTCAAATGAGTGTTACATAGTGACGATTGTTTCCCAGAGATGTGTTTTGTTTGAGTCATTTAGGTCCTTAGCTTTTGAAAGGCAATTGCTGAATAATGCCAATGGAAGTTTCTGACAACAAGAATGTCACTTCAAAATAAAATTATCCCCCCTCTAGTTGGAACTGTAGCCTTTTAATTTTTTTGGAGGGGGAAAGGAGGTTGCAGAGGAGTAAAAATTAGGAATGCAGACATTAAGGAGAAGATATGGGTGAGCAAGGCTAAGACAGAAAGTAAGTCTGTGGTGAAGAGGTAGAAATATGAGTGACCAGCATGGGGGAAGGTGCCAGAATGTGTAGGAAGAGATATGATGGTGTGAAGGGTTTTTTTTTCAGGGGCTGGGGCACTCTGTTGCTTCTGCTGAGAGCTCTGAGAAAGGAGGAGGAGGATTCCTCAAGTAACAGTGACGGACTGCAGAGGCTGGGAGGAGGGACTGGTTCTGCAGACTAATTCAAAGCTTTCACCAATAATCATTCCTTTAACTCAAATTCGAAAGGGACACCTTCTGTATGTGAAAATCTGAGAGTCAGATCCTGCTTCTAACCTTTTCTGGACCTTAGGGAAAACTAGTATATAATCGTGTAAATAAAACACATCTTAAGCGTATGCATAACCACAGGAAGCAGGTTGGCAAATGGCTTCACTTCTGCCATTGTCAAACTAGTAGTTGTTTAACTTTCCAATTGCAGTATTTGTAGTGTGCCATTCAAGTGATAGATATCTTGTTCTACCACTGGATGTATTACAGTGTCTTTCATCTGTCAATCATTATATTAAATTGAGCCAGTTTCATTAAAGACTGAAAGTTGTTTCCATGACATAGATATTTCATATTCCCCAAGCCAAGCTTAATAGGTCTCAAGTCTATTATACGCACATGCAAAAAACACCCCATGAACAGCACTTTTAAAGCTAAAGTTTACAATTATGGGAAATTTATGTGCAGTTAAACTTTTTTTTTGCCCCCCCCATAAACTCTGTATCATGGACTGGGTTGCACAAAACTGGCAGGTCCATCACTCCTATGAGCTCTTAAGTATTTTAAGTAGTCCTGAGAATGAAGCTGCTCATATAAGTAAGATTGTATAGTTTACTGAAAGGTTTGTTTCTCAAAAAGAATTTTAGTAGTCAGGTTTTTTCATATACTGGATTCATTTTAGCATGATACTTCAGATTTTGTCTGAAATTAATTTACATTTTTAAACTAAGTTACTTAGCTGTCTACACCAGGATTTGAAAGGTTGTCAGGTTTTTAGGAAGCAATGCAAGATCAACCAAAGTATTGGGAAGATTCTTATTAATAAATGTAGACTTCAGATCAGGGCTGTAGTTTTGTTGGTAACTTTATTTGTAACAGCAAAACTTTGCATGCACAAAGTAGTGTCTGCAAAAAATAAAGACCCTTCGGAAATGGAAACTGTGTAGATGTGGCTGTGTATTGGAATTATAATAAGAAGTCTCAAATGTATTCTGCAAATTTAAACAATCCTTCTTTCTCATTCACACAGTGTACACAACTATACCCCCAAGGTTGGAGAGATTGATACAAGGAAAGCCATTCGTCAGGCATTTGATGTTTGGCAGAGAGTGACACCACTTACCTTTGAAGAAGTCCCTTACCATGAAATTAAAAATGACAGAAAGGAGGCAGATATTATGATATTTTTTGCTTCTGGTTTCCATGGAGACAGTTCTCCGTTTGATGGAGAAGGTGGATTCCTAGCTCACGCTTACTTTCCTGGACCAGGAATAGGAGGAGATACTCACTTCGATTCAGATGAGCCATGGACCCTGGGAAATTCGAATCATGATGGTAAGAGCGCAGGTCATTTTTCAAAACAAGGATAAACTGACCGTAGACATATTGACAGGCTTTCAACTAGAAAGTATTTGGTTAGTGGAGCTTTCGCCTCCCATACAATGGTTCAGATGTTTTCTAAAACATGTATTCTGTCTTAAATGGGTAAATAATTTTATTAGTAAGTTTGTGACTCTGCATGCCTCTGTGCACACGTGTGAATGTTGAGGAGCGAACAGAAGCATGTGTCTGCTGGCTTTTTACATCTCTCAAGATTTGTACCATAGCTGCTACAGAAACTATGGCTCTGGGAGGGAAAAGGTGAACAAGAGTGTTGAAATGTAAACTCTGTATCTCATGGAATACTTAACAAGGGCAATTAGAGTTAGTTGTAATGGTGAATAGAAAGTTGAGAGAGTGAAGACATTTAAATGTCAAGTCGTTTTGATCCATGTTTGTTTTCTCACAGTCTGAGTATGGTCATAATTCCTCCCATCAGAGGTTGGGGCTGGCTGATTTGTTAAGGAAGACTGATGATTAGGACAACTGTTTTTATGATATTAAGCAATGAAGAGTTTCTGCATCTTTCTAGCTTTATCTTACTCTCTAATGGCAATGAGCACTTTCTGATCTATTTTCAAACCTTTGATTGAGGATAGTGATGACTTGTTTAAGTTGGAAAACCCGAATTTTACAGTGGCCTCATAAGATATAACTGCAATTTCCACGGTCTTAGTGATTTGGGAAGGACAACGTCTCTTTAGACCTTTAGGGATTCAAAATCACATTTTGAAACATTTTATAAGGATTAGAAGTTTACTTGGAATGTAAATATGGCTTGATTTTTAAACTGTATAAAAACATAGTAGCATTGTTGTGGCCATGATGTCTGAGGACATATGCAGAGGTAATGTCTTTCATTAGACCAAACAGTGTAGTTTGAAAAGGAGAAAAGCTTTCAGGCATGCAAGCCACCTTCAGGCCTGACCTAAAAGTGACAGCTTTCTTTCAGAATGGAATGCAAATTGAGAAAATTGCTCAGAGTTTTGAGTCGGTATCTATCAGATCATCTTTGAAAGAAAATGGAGCTGGCAAGTTCAACGTGGGAATGCTAATTTGTAGGAAAGCAGAAATTGTATGTTACTTG